TTGTTACTTCGATTTAAACATTTTAATAAGCGAAGTTATAGGATCAAAATCCTACATCGTTCATCCTCGTCAGCGAGGAGCTCAAAAATTTCAAGTTGACACCAGAACCTACGTTACGCAATTTTATATTTCAGACTTAACGTTAAATTGTTTGTTAACAAAATATCAATCTGCCAATAAATGAAATTGTCTAGATTATATATCCAGACCCCAAATCAATTTGCTTTAGTATTCGACAATGAACTTTCATGAGTAGAAATTCTGATTACTCAGAACTGTAATGCGATTTGTTGTATTCACCTGATCATTCGCCGGAAACATTTTTGCCTCAGGAATTTTCGCTGTAGGTAATTTTGCCATATCAGATTTTTGCCGTAAGAGAATTTCGCCGTATTTCTTTTTATTAATATGCGAAGTACTTTGTTATCAAATATATGTGGCTCACACTATTGTTACTTCGATTTAAACATTTTAATAATCGAAATTATAGGATCAAAATCCTACATCATTCATCCTCGGCAGTGAAGAGGGCAAAAATTTCAACTTGACACCAGAACTTACGTCAGGCAAAAGACATTACGGAGCAATGCTTGGAATTTATACACATTTTAAATCATTTCTTTGTTAATTTCTCATATTTTTTAAATAAATGTTTACTTTTTAATTTCTTTTCTGATGCTTGATCCTGTAAAAAAGATATCCATATATAATTGATATCAAGTTAATTCGCATATTAAATTTATCATTACTCCAAAAGAGACGTTCAACATAAGGGTGTCGAAAAAAAGAAAAATGCGGCGAAATTGGTCTTACGGTAAAAATCCTATACAGCCAAATTTCCTATGGTGAAAATTCCTGAGGCGAGTTTTCCCACGGCAAAAATGGGGGAATGTTCCGGATACGTATCTAATGCACTTTGTAATAAAATCCCGGCTGCAATCTCCCCAAAACGGTCAACATGTTCTTCCATTACGCCACAGCACACTGGTGATTTTTTATCAGGTGCTTCGCAATAGCAGACCCAGATACAATAGACTTGTAACCTTGCGCCATTTTAAACTAATAAGAAATGGTGCGTGCGTTAAGGATGCCGCAAGAAATTGTATGGTTAATCCCGACAGAAAAGGTTCAGAGAGATGGAAATTTGTTGTTCTTCAGGATTATTTTTTAAAGATAACATTTCGAAATATATCCGGCTCGTGGCTCTGGACAATGATGGAATCGGAAATAGGAATTAGAATCTGTATTTAACCTTTAGGTTTTGCCTACGACAAAAAGTGCACACAGGAATAATACATCGCTCGCCTGAGAGATGGAAATACTATACAATCCTATTTCTTTTACTAAAGACTGTTCAAATTGATGTCAGTATTATTGGGCCTGGAGTGCAAATTTAGATTGAAGGCAAATAGTTATTTTCCGGCTAAAGTTTTAATTTATTTATTTATTTATTTATTAGAAGTAGCCAGATTGGGAGCTAGATAGATTTGAATCTAGATAGGTAGATAGATAGAAATAAAGATAGTTATGAACAGAGTGAAATAGATAGATAGGAATAGAATGAAATAGATAGAGAGGGAGAGATATGAACAGACTGAGATAGATGCATAGAATGGCAAGAAAAAACAGATATATAGATCGATAGAAAGAAATACAGAAAGATATAAATAGATTGAGATAGATAGAAAAGGAAATTGATAGGAAGAAACTGTGATAGATAGGTGCATATGAACAGATTTATATATATATATATATATATATATATATATTGTCATCCACAGACGTACTGTTTCGCTGTATCAGAGCTTATCAGTGTGGCTAGACGTCTGGTTGCCTCTAGCTAGGATCGAAACCCGACTGAATTGGCGACAGTCGGTGGGGGGGATTCTACCACTAAGCCGTTGGCGCACACCAGGGAGGAAGGTGAATTTAAGCGTATTTATTTTTAGATAAACACACAGTGACTGAGAGAACTAGATTCGGTTTAGCGAAGATTCTTTCATTATTAGTCGTAATAGTCACTGTTTACAAACCAAAACTTCCTACCCAGATAGATAGGAATAAACTTCTATAGGAATAGACTGAGATAGATAGGATTAGAATAGATAGACAGGGGTAGACTGATATATATATATATATATATATATATATATATATATATATATATATATATATAGAGAGAGAGAGAGAGAGAGAGAGAGAGATAGAGATAGATAGAGATAGATAGATAGATAGATACATAGGTACATAGATATAAACAGACTGAGATATATAGATCGATAGAAAGAAATATAGATATGAACAGACTGAGATAGACAGATAGATAGGAAAAGACTGAGAGAGAGAGTGAGAGACATGAACAGACTGAGATAGATGCATACAATGATGTGAACAGATAGATATATAGATCGATAGAAAGAAATATAGAAAAATATAAACAGAGATAGATAGATAGATAGATAGATAGATAGATAGATAGATAGATAGATAGATAGATAAAGGAATTGATAGGAAGAGATAAATATATAGATACATATGAACACACACACACACACACACCCACCCCACACACACACACACACACACACACACATATATATATATATATATATATATATATATATATATATATATATATATATATATATAGAGAGAGAGAGAGAGAGAGAGAGAGAGAGAGAGAGAGAGAAATGGCAGGATTAGGCAAGGAATTACTTGTTAATTGTAACTCCCCCGAAACAAGACAACTCTTTTTTAATCGCTATAGATAACCCTTTTTACTTTCTATCAGTATGGCTAATGCTAACCCCCAGGATTCATGTAACGTTTTCCGCTTGCATGAAGTGAATTACATGCTAGGTCTGCCGCAGGGAAAGTTGACTCACTGTGTCGAGCAGGACAATTTGTTCTCGACGGAATCTATCTTACATGTTTAGAAGTCCAGGCATTGAATATTGGTGTCACATCTGGTCTTGTGCTTCTGGTACGTATTTAGAAATTCTTGATGAAATAAAAAGAAAAATCTGCAATATTATGAGTCTTGACCTGGCATTTAGGCTTCTGTCACTTTTTAGGCGCTGCAACGTAGTCGCCCGTGACTTTTGTGAAAATACTTTCATGGTAATTGTTCTGATGAGCTTTCCACTTTATAAATAGATAGAGAGATAGATATGAACTGATTGAGATAGATATAAACAGAGGTGGATAAGTAAGTTGATACTACTATATTGGTGGCAAGGTCTCATCATCTTACGGTTGAAATGGCAAGATATAACCGACAGTTCTATGTTGATAGTTTATTCGCTTGCACTTCTCGTTTCCGGGACTCTCTTTGTCTTACATTCCAGTCAACTTTCATCCTTAAAATATTAAATCGTTAATCCTTATCTTCTTCTTAATTCCAGTTGTTTTATTATTCTCTCGATTTAATAACACTTTCTTTTTCTCGTATTCACTCAGACTCAGTAACCAGTTGCGTATTATTGGCTTTATTGCCTTGCTTGGGGCGAATTGATTAAAATAAGATCGAGATAGTAGATCTCAACAGAATGAGATAGATAGATAGATAGACTCTGTGTGTGTGTGTATGTGTGTGTGTGTGCGTGCGAATGCATATGACAGTGCACATATACATATATGGGTGTATACGGGTATATATAAATAGTTGTGTGCATGAATATGTATATATGTATACATATGAAGAAATACTTTATACAAAGAGTTAAATAGCAATGTTAACGTGATTAATGGCGAAATCACTTCGCTAACAAGACTTAATGAGACATTAACTTACTATCAATTTCTTGAAAAATAAGATCCCTTTTTGCCAGTTGTCAGATAGAAGACACTTGACGAATATTTCAACAATTTGAAATTGTCATCTTCAGGCTGTAATTTTTCCCCATACATAGGCAAACACTAGGACGAAATATGTAAACCGAAAGATGTTATATATATATATATATATATATATATATATATATGAAGAAAAATATACGGAAAAACAAACACAAATACTAATATGCAATTATGCTATTTCCGTATATTTTTCTTAATACTGTCGTATCTATATCCATATATTTATATATATATATATATATATATATATATATATATATATATATATATATATATATATATATATAATAAAATAAATCCACATTACAACCAAAAACGTTTGCGGCACCCCTCTTCTTTTAATAATTTTCTACGTTGAGAGCTTTTTATATATATATATATATAAGCAAAAGAACATGAAATTATGGAGGGCTACAAAGAACATGATCATCCACGTGCTGAATGGGACACAATACATAGAAGAAGAAGAAGAAGAAGAAGAAGAAGAAGAAGAAGAAGAAGAAGGATGTATAGAAATAAATACATAAAATTTCCCTGTAAATGTTTTTACTTGTCATTCTTTGAGAATGATTTTAATGTAGGTATTCGTTGTAATTGGGAGATTGTCACTGGCCAAGAATTAAGGCAGGCTTTATATATAGCGTAAATACATTGTAAATGATTTTTACTCTGGGAATGCATTGTTAATGTTTTTGCTATTTAATTGTATTGTAAATAATGAAAACAGTAGCAATAAAAACAAGAAAAAAATGCATTCAATGAGAGTTTGGTGAAAGAATAAGACAATTATAAAGAAAATATTATTCTTGGGGTTGCTGCTGCTGATGCTTTTGCTGTCGTGACTGCAGTTTTTTGTGTCGATAATGACACGCTTATTGATAGTTGTTCCTCCTTGTATTGTTGCTCGACTAATTTGGTTTGTTAGCTTTTAAGTGTTTTCTAGCTGTGTTCAACTTAAAGGCCATCTGCCATGGTTCCTAAAACATTGAGACTGGCATCTAATCATCCTTGAATAAAATAATTACAATCGACTTGGCAGAGGCAGGTTGCGTGTCCCACCTCTATGCAATTAGCCACCCTGCCTCGATAACATTTAAGTCATTTGACGGTAGGGTCACCAAAATGCTGTTTAGATAACAGCAATGTTTTCGTTACTTTTCACGGTGATTCATTCGCCTTTCTTTCGTTTACATTCACGAGTTCAATTCTTTCTATCTTTTTCTCTTTCCGCTCTGTTTTTCTTTTTTTTTTCCGTTCTTTCTTATCTTTTCTTTTCTTTCTTTATTTTCTTTTTCTTTCTTTTCTTTTCTTTTCTTTCTTTCTTTCTTTCTTTTCTTATCTTTTCTTTTCTTTCTTTATTTCTTTCTTTTCTTTTCTTTTCTTTTCTTTATTTCTTTATTTCTTTTATTTTCTTTTCTTTTCATTCTTTCTTTTCTTTTCTTTCTTTTCATTTTCTTTTCTTTCTTTTTTCTTTCCTTTCTTTTCTTTCTTTCTTTTTCTTTTCTTTCTTTCTTTTTTCTTTCTTTTCTTTTCCTTTCTTTCTTTCTTTCTTTTCCGTTCTTTCTTTCTTTTCTTTTTTTTCTTTCTTTTCTTTTTTCTTTCTCTTTCTTTCTTTTCTATTCTTTTCTTTTTCTTTCTTTCTTTCTTTCTTTCTTTCTTTCTTTCTTTCTTCTTTCTTTCTTTCTTTTCTTTTCTTTTCTTTCTTTCTTTCTTTCTTTCTTTTCTTTTCTTTCTTTCTTTCTTTCTTTCTTTCTTCAGTTTTATCTTTCTTTTTTCTTTCCGTTCTTTCTTTCTTTTCGCTCCTTTTTTCTTTATTTCTATATTTCTTTCTTTTTTCTTTCTTTCTTTCCGCACTATTTTCTTTCTTTCTTTTTCTTTCTATCTGTCTTTACGCTTTATTCTTTCTTTCTTTCTTTCCGTACTATTTTCTTTTTGTTCTTTCTTCATTATTACATTCGTTCATTCTTTTTTCTTTCTTTCCATTCTGTCTTTCTTTTCTCTCTCTCTCTCTATCTCTCTCTCTATCTATCTATCTATTTATCCGTTCTTTTTTTCATTCCGTTCTATTTTTCTTTCTTTCTTTTTTCTTTTCTTTCTTTATTTCCGTTCTATCTTTCTTTCTTTCTCCCTTTTTTCTTTCTTTCCTCCCTTTTTCTTTTCTTTCCGTTCTATTTTTCTTTCTTTCTTTCTTCCTTTTTTCTTTCTTTCCGTTCTATCTTTCTTTCTTTCTTTTTTTCTTTCTTTCTTTCTTTCTTTCTTTCTTTCCGTTCTATGTTTCTTTCTCCCTTTTTTCTTTCTTTCTTTCTTTCTTTCTTTCTTTCTTTCTTTCTTTCTTTCTTTCCGTTCTATCTTTCTCTCTATGGTTTACGGTCACATCACATTGAAACATCGGTACTCCTACGATCACCTACGCTAGACAACGTCGAGTCTTGTCATTACCGGGATGGGTAACCGTTTGGGAATACCAGGTGCTGTAAGCATTGATGTACAGGTTTTTCAATGGATAACGGCTCGGGATTTGAAATCGTAAAATCAAATTCCAGTTCCAGTCGTGTTCGTTATATTCACCTATGTACAAATACTCTTGGGATAATTATGGATCCATTTCTTGTTCCCCTAGCTATGGATTAATTAGTAAGACTTGTATCAATAAATCATTATTATCTCCATAAACATTCTTACAATTTATAAATAATTTATGACTTTAAATAACCAGCAAAATTTTGGGAAGACGTAAGAAGCAAATCAATCAATCAAAAGCCAAAGTTAAGCAACAACATGCATGATCAGTTCCTATATGGGTGACCGTTAAGAAATACCAGGTGCTGTAAACTTAAATGCACAGGTTGGAATTTGAATTCAGAGAGTCAAGTTCCAATTCCAGTTGGGTTCGTTAGTTACATACAAATACCCTTTGGAAAGGCATGAATTCACCTTTTCCTTTCAGCTATGAGTTAATTTGTAGGACTTGTATCAGTAAATCAATTAATATCTCCAAAAACATTCTTCAGTCAGTCAGTTTTGTGCTATGCTTAATACACGCTTAGGCGATCATGTATCTTTCGATACATGACTGACGAGGGAGATTTTTTACCACAGTAGGTTTCCATTTCTTTTTGCGGTAGACCAGTTGCCATCCAAGGTCTGTCCTGCTATTTACCCATAGCTGGGGGGAGAAGAAGGGGATTCATTTGATTCGACTGAAATTCAAACTTGGCTCTCCGATTCCTCAGTCCGAGCCGCTAACCATCACTCCACCCTGCCTCCTAAAAGACATCCTGGGCACCTCAAGGTGGCGTAATGGTTAGCAAGCTTGTCTCGCTAGAACAATTACGGCTGAGTAGTGAGTTCAATCCTCACTGGATGCCCCTTACTTTCGGCCTTATGCCAAATCCAAGCTACGCTTGGAAAATCACTAAAAGACATCCTTACAATTTAAAAATACTATCTTTAAATAACTTGTAAAAGGTTGATAAGCCATAAAAAATAAATCAATTAACCTTTCTTTCTGTCTGCTCACATTATTTTCTTTCTACTTTATTCTTTTTTTATTCCTTTTAGTTTTCTATTTATCTAACTATCTATCTATCTATCTGTCTGTCTATCTATCTATCTATCTATCTATCTATCTTTATCTGTCATAATATATTCATATCTATCTATCTATATATCTATCTTTATTTCTTTCTTTCATTCAATCATTGTTTCTTTCTTCGTTCTATTCTCAGTATTTTCTTTCTTTCTTTTTATTGTCACAGTATTTCTCTTTCTTTCTTTCTTTCTTTCTTTCTTTCTTTCTTTCTTTCTTTCATTCATTCTTTCTTTCTTCGTTTGATTCGCAATATTTTTATTTTATTTTTTCTTTCGTTTTTTCTTTCTTTCTTTCTTTTATTTCTTTCTTTCTTTTCTTTGTCTTTCTTTATTTTATTTTCAGTTTTTTCAGTATTTTTTCTTTCTTTCTTTCTTTCTTTTTTTCTTTCTTTCTTTCTTTCTTTCTTTTCAAATGTGCATTCTTTTCATATCGTTATTTATTTCTATGAGAAAGCCTCCTTTTTTTTTTATCTCCATTAGGTTTATATAAAAACGTATGCATTTTTTTTAAATTCCAGAGTGAATTTCCAAGTTATCCGCCATTTCTTTTTTCATCTTCCGCTTTCCTGAATCAGAATTGTTTGTTTCACTCCTCTTCCCATCTCTTCTCCTTAGAAGCCATTAAATGACACGGTTCTAGAGAAAAAAACTATTATGTTATTCACAAGATTACGTATGGAACTGATGTCAGAATATGACGTCAACATTACCACCGCCGACACACGCAAAAAAAAAAAAAACAGATACTACTACTACTACTACTTATTATCATATCATTGTTGATAACACCGCCGTCAGTTTTTAATGGAACAAAATCAATAACACAAATAAAATGGCATAAAACACAATGCGCGCGCACACACACACACACACACACACACACACACACACACATATATATATATATATATATATATATATATATATATATATAAAAAGGCTTAAACACTAATATTCCATGGTAATCACGATCCAATCAGGTCTGATGAATTGGATCGTGATTACGATTCCAATATAATAAATTATAACCATGGAATATTAGTGTTTAAGCCTTTTTATTATATTCTTACTCTGTCCTAGCCATTGAGTTCTACTTGGATTTTATCCTCTTGAAAATTATATATATATATATATATATATATATATATATATAGATGTATATATTAACCAATAATATTATCTATCTATCTATCTATCTATCTATCTATCTATCTATATATATATATATATAAAGACAAAACTTGTCCAGCATTTGGATATTTTTTATTATGCTGTTCTTTTGAGCTAAGCTTTCAATTCACATAAGCCATCTTCAGTGTAGTTATATTGACATTTAAACAAATATATTCTCCATCAAATGTTGACATAGATGATTGCTATGCGACGATAACGGCCGCAGAATAGCAGACATATGTCGTAAATTCATGATGTAGTTCTATGACGTCGTACCACGTGACAGAACGAAATATTAAGAAAAGAACCATATGTAATGTATTGTAATTAGTTTGAAATGTAATTTTGTTGAGTGTGGATTGCTTTGTTTTAATGTAGATGGCATCCAATATCTGAAGGTTCTTTTTACTGTGTGTATGTGTGAATATTGTGTTATCAGATATTTGCTCCCGAAATTAAAGCAATTTTACGAGGTTTAGAACAGCTCATGATCAAACATAATAGATATTCGTTGTCTGTTATATTTAACAATATATGTTTGAATAATGATCTGCTGCTTTGTTTATAATAAGCAGTTTTTCAACAACATTTACCGGCCTGAATGTCCGAGAAACTTTCATAGAAAATATTCGTCTTCCAACAGGAATCGAACTTGTATCCTATACGGAACCGTCATATAGCCTGACGTGCCTTTAACCAATTTGGCTACAGAGGAACGTTCGGTTAGCAAGGTCGATTTTACTGTAGTTTAATGTTGTATAGCCGCTTCTTCGGGGGTTGGTTTTGGAGCAGCGCTCTTGATTTACTCATAACATTGCTTTCTTCTTTCTCAACCGGTGATCGGCTGTTGCTTTGTTCGAAGATTAAAGAGAAATTTAACTCCGATGATGAGGTACATCTATTATCAAGTGGGGGTTACTACACCCCCTATTTGGGACCAACTTGCAAAAACGAAAATCACACACGTCCATATGCTTTGACCTGTAACAACCAACTCTCAAAAGAGCCTTCCCGACTGCGGCGAGGGGATTTGCATAAACGCAGTCTAACACGTTCGAACAGCAACTGACTAAAACCGTAATTTATAACTCATTCCCACGTTCGGCACAGCCTGTCAAAATCGACATCCCTATTTTGTCTACCATCTGAAAAAAAAAAACTGCCAAGAAAAGAAGCAAAGTTTTCATTTTTTTCTTTATTTATATCGGTATCAGCCTAAGCAAGGTAGTAAAGCCGCTAAAAAGCAAGTTGATACAAGGTGTGGAAAACTTGAGAAACAAAAACATTAATAATAAGCAGGAAAGAAAAAAGAGGTCAGTTGATAGCGATTGGTGTTGCATTTAAATTTTAGCAGATTAAAGTTGGACAGTCAACATCGACACCACAATTTTGTCTACCAGCTGACCTTATAGGTCAGCCTCAGAATGTCTGAGTCAAAATACTCTGCTACTAAAATAACTAATAGTCTGAAACTTTTATTTAACACTCGGGGTACCATGTACTTTCTGCAATCTTCAGGTGCAAATTACTATTATTGTATTGTATTTGCAGCTGAAGGCTGCAGCAACTGCATGAAACTCCGATTCGTACTATCGACTTTGGATATTATGCATATTCACTAATATATATATATATATATATACATATTTATGAATAAAAATGACAATAGGAAAACTGGTAATTGCTGACGCGTTTCGTCCAATGTGGACTTTATCAAAGCAAAATACGAAAATGAAATTAAATGAACAACGTAACTAATAAAAACAAAAACAGAATGTACCTAGCAATTGAATGTAGAGAAACGCTATTTTCATATTTTTTTAAATGAAAATGACGTCAGAGATTGTCACGTGTGGAGAATATTGTCATTATATCTGTGTTGATGTATTCAACCATTTTCTTTCGATTTTATGAATCTGTTGTGCATATTTGTTTGTAAGAGCATTAATTTTGTTAAGAAAGGTGAAATAGGGAAAAGCCTGGGCGTAAATTAATATTTGGATAATTTTCTATGGCGGCACTCTCCAGAATTTTCCTTCTGAGTGAGTTATTTTCTTTTTTTCATGAGTGTAGCATTTTTAAAATCAAAATTATGGTTGTATTTATTTCTATGTATGACTATTGCATTAGCTAAGTTGTTTTTTTTGTGAGGTCTCTTTTTGTGCTCATAAATGCGTTTTTTCAAACTTCTACTTGTTTCTCCAATATATTGGGAGGAGCAGTTTTGGCAATTTATTTTATAAATGCCTGCTTCAGAAATATTAGTGCTATTATTGTTTGAAGATCTTAGTATATCTATAATGGTTTTGGAAGTGTTTGTGACTATTTCAAGATGATTTAGATGGGATAGGTTATTCTGGATCGTGGACGTGGCAGAATTGGTCGGTAGTATTATGTATCTGTTTTCATGTGATTTATTATTGCGGATTGGGTTATTAGTTTTGTTTCGTTTGTATATTTTGTATGCCTTTCTTCTTGCATTGTGGATGAAATGATATGGGTATTGTAGGTTTTTGAATGTGTTTTCTATGTATGTTTCTTCTTTAAATAAATATTGAAGACTACAGATTCTTAATGCTCTTAGATAGAAACCTATAATAATTCCAGATTTAATTTTTGAAGGGTGGTTTGAGTAGAAGCTGATGAGCTACAATAAACTTCACTCTCGAAACTGAAACCAACTACACTCTTCCGTTCCTGGACGTCAAAATTGAGTTCGTTGTTATTTCTAATTAACAAAATTGTTAATTAGAAATAACAACGAACTCAATTTTGACGTTTACAGAAAGGCTACAAACAAAAATGATCTCATCAGCTATACTAAGATCTTCAAACAAGAAATATTAAAGAAAAAAAATTGCCAAGAAAATAAGCAAAGTTTTCATTTTGTCTTTATTCATGTCGGTATCAGCCTAAGCAAGGTAGGAAAGCCGCTAAAATACAGGGTGTGGAAAACTTGAGAAACAGAAACATTAATAATAAGCAGGAAAGAAAAAGAGGTCAGTAGATAGCGATTGGCATTGCATTTAAACTTTACGATTAAAAATTGGCTTGGAAGCATAGAGCCGAAAGGGAGATTCACAACCGAGAGGTGCGGGAAAAGAAGCTGTTAGCCTAAAACTTACGGTTACATCAAGTCATATCAACTGTAAATTGTGAAGATCTCGACGCCAGTACTGAGCTTAAATTAATAAAGTCTGAAAGAGCTTATCCGTACAGTTACCATGAAAGTGTTTATAAAAAAGGCACAGAGAGACAATCTTCCGGAGGTGGGTAAGTGACTGAAGCCGGGTCGCCAGATCAATACCAATAATATTGCTGATTCTTCTTTGGATGTCAACAGGCACGAGACCATATGTGGCAGCAATATTCTAAGAATATACCAAAAGTAGAGTTATAGATATGTAAGATAGATTCCGGAGAGACAAATTGTCTTGCACGACACTGTGAACCGCCTTTCGTGGCAGCTGACCTAGCAATGGATTCAACAGAGTTTTTTTTTCACTCAATGTCAGCTTAGAACGGTGGCACGAGAAGGCGGAACGAATCACTTTCCTGGAGGTTAGCATCAGCTATGTTAATCGAAGGCAGAGAGATGTCTTTCAGATGACTAATATAGAGAAGTTTAGTTTTGAACTGGTTAAAATTGACAAGGCATCTTTTAGCCCAGTTAATGACGAGTAGGTAGTTTTGGACATCGACTGCCATTTTGACCTTGTCCCACTGATCAGCCTTAATATCGATGCAGGCGGAAGTGGTTGTGTCATCATCATAGATAATGTTATGGGACCTTACCCATAATAACATAATGGACTATTCCATACGTAATAAATACTGCGCCTTAAGAAGAAGCAGGAGTTCAGTCTGCAATCTGGAGTGAAGTCCGTCAGAAGTCCGTCAGAAGTCAGAGCGAGCGAGTCAGTCAGTCGAGTCAGAGGCAGTCCGAAACAGAGTCGCGTTCAGACAATTACTACTAAACCTGATTCTTCGTACTAACACTTTCTACTTCTCTGTATATATTCCTGTTTGTAATATATCTGTGTTATTCCATATCCGTGTTCGAGTTCTTTTTATTGGTTCTACCTTGGACTATCACCGTGGTACAAGGAACCGAACCATAACAGATAGCAAGTTGAACTCTGATGTCACCAGGTAGGTCAATAATGGAAATTCAATACAGAGTAGGACCAAGAATAGAGTCTTGGGGGTGACACCTGTGTTAGTACGAAAGCATCTAGACAAGTGGCCATTTAGGAAGGCAGAAGAGATGTCTTTCAGATGACTAATATAGAGAAGTTTAGTTTTGAACGCGTTAAAATTGACAAGGCCTCTTTTGCCCCAATTAACGACAGACTTGAGGTCGTTTTGGACAATGACTGCCATTTTGACCTTGACACACTGATCAGCCTTAAAATCTATATTTTTTGTATAATAAAAAGTAAACAAAACCAAAAATAAGGTTGTTTATTTTCCACCGAATTGATCAACGTTTAACCACAAATAATTATAGTTTTTATGCGAATTTTAATTGACATTCAAACATATACAACTTCGCCATGTTGGAAGTTATGAAATTGTTAGCATATAGTGGCAGATGCCTAAATCCGGCATTTTGACTATGACTCATCACAGTAAAACACTTGTAACTCAGGCTATAGTCAAAAGTCAAACACAAAATTTTGTACATATCTTGTCTTGTCAAATATAAAAAAAAATAAACATACGTTTTTTGAGAAATTAAAAGTCAAATGTAAAGTTCATGGTCAAATTATCTTATTCGACCTTTAAACAAAGAAATAAATACATCATATTTTAGATCTATCAAATTACTTTAAAATGGTGTATAATTTAGCTTTGTAGGTTAAAAACAACGGAGATATTGATATTTAAACTTTGTGACTATTTTCCAAAATTCACCTTTTCGGTAAGGGACAAAGGGTCTTATGAACCCTTTCAATTTTTGTCATGAGGCTCTAGAAGTATAACAAATTTGAAAAAAGGCTTTGCCGATGAGGGTCAAACTATTGCTGATTTGACATGGAATGAATTATATATATATAATATATATATATATATATATATATATATATATATATAGGACGGAAAAAAACTATGACAAATTGTCAAAAGTTTTGGTCTGAGGAATTTCGTCGTATAGGACTTCAGTGGAAAAAGTTAATGTTTACAATGATGCGACTACACATACGTACGAACTAAAGAATCTGAAAATTAAAAAAATATTTTTTTCAAATTTGACAAACTTCAAATATATATAATATTATATATATATATATATATATATATATATATATATATATATATATATTTCTCGGACATTCAGCCTGGTAAATGTTGTTTAATACTGTTTATTATAAACAGAGCATTTACTTAAATATTTTTATCTATAAAAAGAATGTATAAACATAAAAATGTCTTAAAATAATTGTCGGACTTTGTCCATTTCATAATGAGTAACGTCAATTGTTTACATTGGATACGCATTGAGCAGATATGAATATACATGAGAGATTCATAGAAGACTGAAGTTCAAATACAGTGCATTCGACCTTGCTAACCGAACGCTCCTCTGTGGCCAAATCGGTTAAGGCACGTCAAGCTAAATGACGGTTCCGGTAAGGATACAGGTTCGAATCCTGTCGGAGGACGAATATTTTCTGTATACATTTCTCTGATATGCAGGCCGGTAAATGTTGTTTAATACTGTTTATTATGAACATAGTATTTACTTAAATATTTGTATCTATAAAAAGAATCTATAAACATTTTTGTCTTAAAACAATTTTCGGACTTTGTCAATTTCATAATGTGTGACATATATCTAAGACATTTTTTTATGTTTATACGTTCTTTTTATAGATACAAATATTTAAGTAAATGCTCTGTTTATGTTTTTTAGGCAGATATGAATGGATGGGAGAAAATCATGGAGAAATGTGTTTAAAAACAATAAAATCGACCTTGCTAACCGAAGCCTCCTCTGTGGCTCTCCTTAAGGCACGTCAGGCTATATGACGGTTCCGTATAGGATACAGATTCGAATCCTGTCGGAGGACGCATATTTTCTATGAAAATTTCTCGGACATTCAGGCCGGTAAATGTTAATACTGTTTATTATAAACACAGTATTTACTTAAATATTTCTATCTCCAAACAAAAAAGGACACATGGCACAGTGGATAAAGGCGTTGGTTAGATCCAGGGACAGGATCCAAAGAGCGTGAGGTTAATACCCGGTTAAGGCAGTGGAGAAGTAGAACTAGAACTAAATTTTCCTTATGTCGTTAACACACACACACACACACACACACACACACATATATATATATATATAAACAAATGTTTGGAGGTACAAAATTTATAAATAGTTTTAAAAACTAGGAAACCATTGATTTTAATATTAAAAAGTCTCTAGAGCCCTTTCAGCCAACATCTCATCAGGAGACAATCGTTGGATTAGCGAAATGAATAATAGCGATATTGAAAGCAAAAAAAGAGGGGGAAACACAATAAAATAACAAAACAAGTATATATACTTGTAACGAGGGAAGGGTTATCGTGTAAATAAATAGCGAGGGACAGTTAAAATAAAATATCCCCCAACAGATTTAGAGACATTATAAATTCTTTTCTGCCGGCAGAGAAGGTTTTCTAAATCCTATACAGACCGACTCCAAAATCTTCAAATGATTATTGAATTGTATGAATAATTCTAAACCACTCTTTTTTTAATTTCAGCACGCTATATTCTCAACTAAATGTTGAGCAATAGGATTCCATATTCATGAGGGGAAGATAGCATATTCTATCTATCCCTCTTATTTTGAAGGAATGCTGATTCGGCTATTTCCAACATTTAGTTGAGAGCACACTGGCAATTAAATTATATATAAAAAAGAGTGGTTTAGAATTATTCATACAGCCGATTCCAATAACCATTTGAAGATTTTGAGTCGGTCTGTATAGGATTTAGAAAACCTTCTCTGCCGGCAGAAAGAATTTATAAGGTCTCTAAATCTGTTGGGGGATATTTATTTTAACTGTCCTCGCTATTTATTTACACGATAAATTTCCCTCGTTACAAGTATATATACTTGTTTGTTATTTTATTGTGTTTCCCCCTTTTTTTTGCTCTTCAATATCGCTATTATTCATTTCGCTAATCCAACGATTGTCTCCTGATGAGATGTTGGCTGAAAGGGCTCTAGAGACATTTAATATTAAAATCAATGGTTTTAGTTTTTAAAACTATTTATATATATATATATATATATATATATATATATATATATATATATATATATCCACATACAGACTCCACTTGTTGTATCACAGCTCATCAGTACAGATAGACAGCCGTTTGCTTCAAACTGGGATCGAAAGTCGACCGATTTGATATGTCAGAGATTCTTACTCTTAGTCTATCAGCGCGCGACAGGAAAAAAATTAACGCATTATATACGTCCTATATAAACGCCATACTGGCCACCATAGCATACAATTCTTACATAAGAAACTACATACAAGTAACATATACACAACCCATAGACCCAATTAAAAAGCAAAAATAAAACCATCCTAGATAATGACTAAAATTATAGTCGATAGTTTCTACACACTCTGTTGTCGTTAATGAAACATATATAAATGAAGAATTGCTGCTTAAATATACAATATACATATACATATATATATATATATATATATATATATATATATATATTTGTGTATTTAGGCTGAAATACTCTTTTATACACGTTTCACTGAATATGACAGACAAGGGGCCTTGATTTAGTCTTTTTTTTATACAATTTATCATGTGATCTTATAATTTTTCTTTTCGGAGGATAAATTATATAGAAAGTGTCCAGTTGTTCTTTCTTACCAAGCGCTTTCGTCTATACATTTAGCCATTTTCAAGGGTGAAATATATTAACTGTTAACAAGAAATAGATTGTTATATATATATATATATATATACATATATATATATATACATATATATATATATGTGTGTGTATGTGTATTTATATTATGTTTAATTCTCAAAACATGGTTAAAATAGTGTGTCCCTTTTCATAGTTGATATTATTGAGTGTTGAGTTTTTGTTTTTATTAATAAAGCTTCAATAATTTTCAGGCTTTTTTTTTACATGTAGACGATGCTATTATATCTGTTTTGTCAACAAGTACGTATGTTGTGAATAGGGTCCGTTATGTATCTATGAGTATTTAAATAAGACCTAACTGAGCTATAGTCAGAAAGATGTAGAGAGAGTCTTCGTGTCAAACATGTTGTAGTGTGGCCTATATAATTGTTTACAAAATTTGATTGATTATGAATACAATTCCTTAATGGACATTTAAATTCGTAAATAATGTAAGTTGTATTTAATTTTGTTCTAAGAGGTAAATTATTGTTTTTAACTATAAGATTGGTAGTCTTAAATTTTTATAATAAATAATTAGAAGGTGCCTGCTGGAGAACGCAGTCATGTCTGTCAGGCAATTCTTGCGACCATGTCACTCTTACATCCGATCACCTAACTCCGGGGTCTGCACCTCCTTGATTATTATGTGTGGAGCACAGTTGAGTGAGCGGAGAATAAAACCCCTTATAAGACGAACTGGGGGCAAGGGTTATTTTATTATGCACCAACTGAAACAAGGAAAACAGCCAGAATAATTGGAGGATATTTTGAAGTCGTCTGGAGGCCGTGGATGAAGCCAATGACGATTTCATTGAATAAATTTACTCTTTCATATTTCAAGATATTTTTGTGTCATTTTGGTAAATATATCTGTTAAAATGAGATGTCAGTGTTATCTATCTATCTATCTATCTATCTATCTATCTATCTATCTGTTATGGTCCGGTTCCTTGTACTACGGTGATAGTCCAAGGTAGAACCAATAAAGAAGAACTCGAATACGGATATGGAATAACACAGATATATTACAAACAGGAATATATACAGAGAAGTAGAAAGTGTTAGTACGAACAATCAATTTTAGTAGTACTTGTCTGAACGCGACTCTGTTTCGGACTGCCTCTGACTCGACTGACTGACTCGCTCGCTCTGGACTAACTGACAGACTCCTGAGGGACTTCACACCTGACTTCAGACAGAACTCCGTGCTCCCTCTTGAGGCGCAGTATTTATTACGTATGGAATAGTCCATTATGTTATTATGGGTAAGGTCTCATAACACTATCTTAGTCTGCTCATTATCTATCTATCTATCTATCTATCTATCTATCTATCTATCTATCTTAGTCTGTTCATTATCTATCTATCTATCTATCTATATATCTATCTCAATCTCTTTCTTTTTCTTTCTTTCTTGCTATCTGCCACAATTTCTATCTATCTATCTGGAAAATCTGTTAGAAACGTGGACAAAGTGTATGGTGGTTATATTGTCATTAGCTATTTTATAATTGAGGAAAGAAGAAAATTACATTCTTTGAAATTCCATCTATTTTTATTAAATGCTTTCATTATTGGTACATTTTCTCCTAGTACAACTAAAACCTGCCGAAAGTCTTTCTGTCTACGCCTCCACCACTTCCAATTCTCCATTAATAAGACATAATAACTGACTGAAAAAAATACTATTTTGACATTTCTTCAAAATTATTGCCTTTTCCCTCTCAATATATATATATATATATATATATATATATGGATTTCTTTTCTTTCCTCTTTTACTTTTTGCGGCGAGAGTCTAGGGCGGGGAAATTGTATAAAGAAAGTTATTTCGTCAAAGAAATCAATATTAGGCCAAATTCCCAGAAGTAGACTGCGGAGAAATTTCAGAAAAAAATCGACAAAATATATGCTGATGGAATCGTGAGCATTTGATATGAAAAATGCATAAATGCTTTTTGAACGGTTTGCAAAATTGGCATGGAATAAAGACATTGAAAAACTGACAAACTTGACAAGCAATAAAAAGATATTTTACACGAAGGTCCATTAAATCAAAAGAAAGACAACAATTCTTCCATAATATATCTTGTCAGAATTTAATACGTAAGACAATGCTTTCCACGTAAAATGAATAGTAATCAATCGATAGTTTCTGCTTAAATTTCTCGAAGGAGGACTTACCGTTATTTACAATGTTTTCATTTGGTCAAATTTTCCCCATGTGTATTATTATCATCAACGGATCTCATATTGTCTCAATTTTGTTAACTTTTCTAGTCTTTAGATTCTTGCATGACGTTTAGAGTTTCTTTTCCATTAACTACCGATATTGTCTAATTATAGTTAATATATTATATATGTTATATATACGTTATTAAAATTATAATAAATATATATATTAATATTATATTACTATAATATAAAGACATTATAATATAATAATATTATAATAATATATTATAATATTAATATTGTAGCATACCTACCAACGATAATGGGTATATCCCCATTCCCATAAATACAGTAGTGAATACTGAAGGTGGTCTAGATTTGAAGATTCTATCGAGTCTTGGCCTTTAGGCTGAGATGGCTCATCATCTGTCAGATGCGTCTCTGTCTTTGGTGCTCTTAGGAGCTTCTCTGTCAAAGGACAGAGGGGCCGTGGTCTAGGTTTGGAGATTACATCGAGTCTTGGCCTTTTGGCTTGGATGGCTTACCATCCGTCAGATGCGTCTCTGTCTTTGGACAGAGTGCGCTCAGGAGCCTCTCTGTCAAAGGACAGAGGGGCCGTGGTCTAGATTTGGAGATTACATCGAGTCTTGGCCTTTTTGGCTGGGAAGGCTTATCATCCGTCAGATGCGTCTCTGGCTTTGGACAGAGTGTGCTCAGGAGCCTCTCTGTCAAAGGACAGAGGGGCAACTGAGAAACTTATACTGAGAGGTGCCCATCCCTGGGGAACAGTTTCCCGAGGCCGCGTCCTCCCATTACACATGAGCGAGGGAGCTGTGCTCGCGCCGAGGCCAGCGCAACCGACGGTTGCATGGACTGGGGCAATTTTTGTTCCTTTGCCCGGGTGTACGCGCTCGGGTCGCCACTTTAAAATGACCCTGTGTCACATCTTGTTCTCGTGGGGGAACGAGTAGACATCCATTTGGAGATTCCTCTGTCGAAGAGCAGAGTTTCGTGTCGGGATACCCCGTTTTATGTGTGGTCTGCGGGGAATTATTGGCCGAGCCTACGGATACCCCACATTAAATTCGGCCTTGTGTAGTTATCCCAGAGTTGGAGATTCATTGTTGAATTCACTTGACTCACTTATATCAGTTGCTTACTTCTTCTACACTCCGCTGACGAATCTTATATGTGTTGTTCTTGTCCTAAGTATTATCGTTCATTATCAACCTTCGTTAGATTATTCTATTCAGTAATCTTCCTAAGGTTACAAAAAATATATACATTATTATATACGTCATATACAAGATATATAATTGGTAAGTCTAATAATGTTGACCATTATCTCCCTATATTATTAATTATTTTTCGCATTATACGATTATGTCTAATTATAGTTAATATATTATATCCATTATATATACATTATTAATATTGATATATACGTTATTATATATTGTAATAAGTATATATTACAATATTATATTATGATTTTATAATAAATAATGTAATATGATAATATTATAATACTATTATAATATTAATACATACGTTATTATGTCCGAGGTATATACGTTATAAGCGTTAATTATCATTCCCGTTATCTAACTATATTACTAATGAAAAAACGAGACAAAATTTGACATACATAACATTTTGGATATTACTCGAAAGATGAGTGACAATTTCTCGGTTTTTCTATTTTAGTATTCTAATTGATCTTTATTCTGAAGTTAATGACAACTTTTTCTATTCATCTGAATCAGCCATTAAACACTTCTTTCTTTCTTTTTATCGTTGAAACCAAGTAACATAATCACATCATCTATCTATCTATCTATCTATCTATCTATCTATTTTTCTTTCTTTTTTTCTTTCTTTTTATCAATGAAACCAAGGAGCGTGTGTCTTTTGTTTTTCTACATAATCAAAACGGAATAGTTAATCATTTAACACGTATTGGCAGGACGTTAATCACTTCTATCTATCTATCTATCTATCTATCTATCTATCTATCTTAATGTTATACTATCTATCTATCTATCTTAATGTTGTACTATCTATCTATCTATCTATCTATCTATCTATCTATCTTAATGTTATACTATCTATCTATCTATCTATTTTTCTTTCTTTCTTTCTTCCTTTTTTATCAATGAAACCAAGTAGCGTGTGTCTTTTGTTTTTCTACATAATCAAAACGGAATAGTTAATCATTTAACACGTATTGGCAGGACGTTAATCACTTCCATCTATCTATCTATCTATCTATCTATCTATCTATCTATCTATCTATCTATCTGTCTGTCTATTTTTCTTTCTTTCCAAATCCCCGTCTTACGAACATTTGTCTTAATAATAATTTAAAAAGTAATTCAGCAGACGCTGTTATTTTATTTATGGTATTCTTTCTCTGTCGTTCGATAAATGTGCGTTTGAAAAATGTTGCTTTTATCGTGGTTGCTATCGGTTCTCGGCCTTTTCGGAGGTTGTTGATGTTCAAAATGTTTAGACCCAAGCCCCAGGTTCCTTCCCAAAGGTATTACGTCTCATTCAGAAGGGGGCTGCGTTTATTGCCTGGTGACTTAGGGGGTTGCGCAATTTTTCCACAGTATTGCAGGTAAACCCACTCTAAACTTCGACCTTGTGTCACATGGAATAGCGACGTGGGTGCACCAGAAAATGTCATCGCTTCTCGGCCTTTTGGCTGGGATCAAAGCGAAGTATCTGTCCCTGGGCGGATAAACTACATTTCATCTCTTATTTGTGTCTCTGTCTTCGAACAGCAACTGAGAATATTATTGAGAGGTGCCCGGTCTCTGGAAGCAGATCCCCGAAGTAGTACCTCCCTGATTGTATTAAAGAGGGGAGATCGGTAGTAATACCGATAGCAGCCCAACCGTCGGTTGCGGGGACATGTCTATTTTGGGAAATAACGTGGGCTTCCCACATTAAACTGATCAACGTGCGTCGACAGGAAAATGCAATCCTTTCTTGGCCTTTTCGCCAAGATCAAAGTGTAGTATCTATTTTTATCAGCTTAATCTTTTTGTCTCTATCTACGTTTATCTTCGCTTCTTTCTGTCGTTCTTTCTTTCGTTCTTTCTTTCATTTTCTAACAAATAATCTGGTGACTTTTCTTCTCTTTCCATGTGATCAAAACGGTATAGTCCATTATTTATGAGGTTAGGGCATGGCGTAACGGTCGTGCGATGTAACGAAGGGAGGAGGCGCGTAGCTTTCTCCCAAGGTGGATTCTGAATCTTGCTAGGATATAAGAGACTTACCGTATTTGATGACATATAAGACGCACAGGTGTATAACACGCACCCCAATTTCAGTAGAGCAAATCAAGAAAAAAATTAGTAAAATTATTAGTAAATAGTACAGCCTAGGATATATTTATGAAGTATTATTTTGTTTAAACAAGCCATGATTACAATTAAACGATAAATAATATGAAAAAAGAACACGATCCTATAAAAGCTTTATTATATCCTTTATATAATCTGCACAACCTGCGTCTTGTAAACATCTGATTGGAATAATTAGGATATAAAAATTTGATTGTATTTATACCAATGCAACGGATGTTATCAAAGAAAAAATATTAATGAAACAAATATATTTTACAAATATATAATTTGAATTTATTGCATATAATTTTACTGAAATAAAATACTAATATTAAACTTGATGAAATTAATATAATATTAATGATAACACATTTAATCTGCATAATAGCCTTTTAAATAATGACAATAAGTATATAAAAGTTACTCTAAAGTCTAAGCTAATAGGAGTTGCCAAACAGCTAATTCCCGCCGACTATCGCGAATTTTAAACCTACATATGGCATATAAGACGCAGGAGAATTTTAAATGATATTTTTAGTAAAAAAAAATTTCGCCTTATAAGCCGTCAAATACGGTACCTTTTATTCTTCTCCCGGGTTTGTGTTTATACATTTATCTGTCATAGGTTTTGTGTTTATATACTTAACTGACATAGGGTTTTTATCCCCATGAGTGTGCATCATAGGTGTTACTGAGTTGTCTACGTGTTTAAATCTTGGGTGCAACCACTAAAATCGAGTGAAGCTTAGATCTGCGTCTGGCGGTTAGGAGGTGATCTCTCAGGTCAACTGGTTGATGCTCCTGGATTAAATGAAAAGTTAAGTGCGAAACTGAGTGCAAAGTCTATTCTGGTACCAACTGGAGTGAGACATATAATACGCTTCATACATTTCTTCTTTGATTAAATATTGTTTTCCATTCTCGTATACACCACACCTACTAATGGATCACACGTTTTCTATCAGATTAATATCCGAAGAAAAAAAAATGAGGTGTCTTTCCATTATTTTGGCGTCTTTGAAAATAATTTTTTGGCAATGTCTGCGACAGTCAGCAGGATGTGAAAGAACATTGTCTTGAATAAATATACTCATTTATCGTTAACCAGTTTTGGATATGACCTTTTCAATCTAAAAAAAACTTTTGTCGAAGAAAACTTTTTTCCGCATTTTCTTGACGCCATCTTTAAATTTGATGCTATACGCCTTACAATACAAGTCCAAAAATATTACTGAACCTTCCAACTGTAGTCTCCTAGGCCATATTGGATGACTATTCCCATTAAAGTTGCAATCTCTCGCCTAATGATCAGGTTCAACCAATGTAGCTTTGCATTCATCACTAAAAATTACGAGGAAGAATCAGTTTTATTTATTTCACTCAAAATACACGTTTTTTTTTGTTTTGAAGTTTACTTATAGGTTTTAGTCTGTTATAATTTATGCCTATAACAATTTTTCTTCTTTTCCCTTAACAATTTCGTCATATTTTGTTCTTTGAATTTCGGAAAAGAGTAAGCGTCGGAACTGCAAAAAGCATTCAGATGGTTTATCTGTGTAGTACTACAGCTTTTTGGATATGTCATAATGTAGTTTGGAAGATTTTGTAATTTCGGTTTTAAACTGAGCCAGGATTCGTATATGAAGACGCTTTGCTTGCCATCATTGGTAATAAACGAATGTTTTTGACCAGAGAGATTGCTAAAAGTTTGGAAATCGTTATCTCAACTACAGCCCGCCATATTAAGAAAGTTGGATTCGTTTTAAAAAAAGTAACACATTCTCTGACGGAACAAAACAAGCACGGTCGTTTTTTTTGCGTCGATTTTTCTTGGTATTATGCTCCAACTTAAAAAAAAAAAACAACAAAAAAAAAACGGCGATTTTTTGTTTTTACGATGCTCCAACTTAAAAAAAAAAAAAAAAAAACAAGAAAAAAAAATGAGACCTACAGACTTTTCACACTTTGACCCAACTACTATTTCTAGCCACCAATTAAAAAAAAAAGACTTGTATAGTTTTGGCTATTCCTCCTAACTTGCGTTACGATTCACCAAATTTAAAAAAAAAAAAAAACAAGACTTGAATACTTTACATAATTCGTTCCAATTTGGATTCCCAGCCATGGTTAAGATTGTACAAATCGGTTCGAGAGATTATCTGTTCGAGTAGAACTTCTCACCTCTGGAATACGGAGTGAATGTGACTGGTTTGCTACCATGTAAGTGTGATGACGGTTCTATGTCGTGAAGATTAGAAATGGCGGCATGAAAGTAGTGATAGGGCAGCACGTGGCTTACCACACCCCGCCTGTGGTAGAGAGGTTGGAGGGTGGAAAAAATTCGGTATCCGCCAAGACTCGGAGACGTCTTTGGAAAGCTGTAAAGTGCGGTCTTGGCAGCTCCCCGACCCGTAAATATGACAACAGTACCCTATTCTTGGCCTGATTTGGCTCTTGTAACACGAGGAGTCAGGTACGTATCGGAACAGGGTACCAACTATTTTACCTGCATCTCCAGCGATGTCTCTTATGTACGAGTTCCACTTGAAGTCAGGTGAGTCACGGTGCGTCGCGTTGGAGGGGGCATCCGTTTGACTAGCGGCAGTTCGTGGTCTCATCGGCGATGAAAGAATGCAACTATAATAGGATGAAATATGCAGATTAATCGCAATGTGGCTCAAATCCTATAAAGCCAGGGAAAATACATTGAAGAAGGAATAATGATGCTATGAATATATCAGAAAAATATATGATCCTTCTTCATATATAGCAGTGAATGCTGGACAATCTCATCCTAGATGAAGAAGAAATTTGAGGCAACAGAGATATACTTCTGTAGAAAGAAACTGATATTACCATAGACTGAACATTTGAAAAAAGAGGAAGTTTTAAAGAAAATGGTAATAAAAAAGGATGACAGTTGAAAGTTCTGTGGTATATAATGAGGAAAGATTGATTCGTGAATTTGATACTCACAAGATATATTGAATGCAACAGAGACAAAAGAAAGCAGCGAATGGTCGGCCTAGAGATTTTGTGCAAATGGTTATGCAAAAAGGGATTAAGAAAGATAGCAAAACGACAAAAAATTTACTAAGAGCTACAAAGGATAGGAAATGGTGAAGAACCATGAACTACTCACGTCTAGAAGGAACTCGACACATAGAAGAAGAAGAAGAATGAGATCATGTAAATGATTGGCCAAACAGAGATTAAGAAAGATAGCAAAACGACAAAAAATTTACTAAGAGCTACAAAGACTAGAAAATGGTGAAGAGCCATGAACCACACACGTCTAGAAAGAAATCGACACATAGAAGAAGAAGAATGAGATTGTGTAAATCGTTGGGCAAACAGGGATTAGGAGAGATCGCAAAAAGACAAACCTTGCGAATTGTTACAAGGGAGAAGAAATTGTGGATAGATCGCACATTCTGAAAGGATACGGTACATAGAAGAAGAAGAAGAAGAAGAAGAAGAAGGAGGAGGAGGAGGAGGAGGAGGCGGAGGAGGGGGGGATGAGTGCTAGGTAATGAGGGAGTTGAAGAGAAATAAGGTTGTGGAGAGGAGAAGAAGCAGAAGGAGAAAAATTGCTACGGGGAGTAGATAACAAAGAGGGTAAAGAAGGGCACTAAAGAGAAGAAAAAAACAGAAGGAAAAGAGGGGAGCAGTAGGTAACGAGGAGGGTTAATGAGGAAGAAGAGGAGGAGGAGAAAGAGGAGGATGAGGAGTAGGCAACTAGGAGGGTTGAAGAGGAAGGAGGAATGTGGAGAGAAAGAGGAGGAATAATTAGGTGATGAGGAGTAGGTTACAAGGAGGGTTGAAGAGGAAGAAGGTTCGTGGAGAGAACAAGAAGAAGAAAGAAAACAGAGGAGGAGGAGGAGGAGGAGTTAACAAGCTGGGTTGAAGAGGAAGAAAGAGTGTGTAGAAAAGGAGGAGTAAGAGGGGGATGAGGAGTAGGTAACGACGTGGGTTAAAGAGGAAGAAAGAGTGTGGAGAAAAGGAGGAGGAAGTGGGGAGGAAGAGTAGGTAACGAGGAGAGTTGAAGAGGAAGAAGGGGTGTGGAGAGAAGAAGAAGAAGAAGAAGAAGAAGAAGAAGAAGAAGAAGAAAAGAAGAAGTGGGTATGAGTACGTAAAGAGGAGGGATGAAGAGGAATGAGGAATGAGGAGAGAAGGAGGAGGAAGATTCGCATTAGGAGGAGGTAAGGAGTAGCGCTGAACAGGATGTATTGTGGAGAGAAGAAGCAGGAGGAAGAGGATCATGAGGGGTAGGTACGGAGGAAGGTGGAAGAGGAGGAAGTGGTATGGTGAGAATAATAATAATAATAATAATACGAAGAAAAAGAAGAAGAAAAGAAGAAGAAGAAGAAGAATAATAATAAGTAGGAAAATGATAATATAATAATAATGATAAGGATAAAATAAGAAGATGAATAATAATAATAATAATAATAATAATAATAAGAAGAAGAAGAAGAAGAAGAAGAAGAAGAAGAAGAAGAAAAAAGGAGGAAAAGGAGGAAGAAGATGAAGAATAAGAAGAATAAGATGAATAATAATAGTACTACTATTACTACTACTACTACTAATAATAATAATGATAATAGTGGAAAGTGTCATGACGCCATTTCTAACCTTAGGTCCCTGGGCGGGACCCGGAAAGAAATGTGTAAACGCCAGAAATCAAAGAAAATATAAATAATAATAATAATAATAATAATAATAAGAAGAAGAAGAAGAAGAAGAAGAAGAAAAAGGGAGAGTGGGGCG